ACTGAAGTATGCACTGTGTGACAACATGCATAGAGAATGAGCTTTCTGTTCAACAGCTCTGAGTTTGAAGTATGGCTTCACCACTTACTGGTTGTGTGACCTTGGCAAATTATTTGACCTTTCTGAGCATGTTTCCTAGCCTGAAAATGTGGATAACAGTATTACATTGCAAAATTGCCTTGAGAATTATGTAGGCGACTGGATTGTAGTAGCTCAGTATAAGTTCCTTTTTTTCTTAAGAGGATTCAAACTAAAGATGTCTTTCAGGTAAACATCATCATGTTGTCTGTGCCTTGACACCAACAATAAAATTTTTTCCTTTGCAGGAGAGAAGGAAGGAAGTGTAGCTTTTACTCTTCCAGAATGTAGCTGATGGAGTCACATAGTGCAGTAATTTCCAGAGAGCAAAGATCTACTACAGTTATTCCCTATTCTGCTGTTCCAAGATGTACAGTAGCATCCATCTTACCATCGTTCTTAACCATACGGCAGTTATGATACGCTTGTCATGGCCTGCCTATGCACGAATTTGGTTATAGGTGCTAATATTATCAACATTTGCGTTTAATTATATACATTGTTGGTTCTGCCTGTGTTGTATAATTACTATTTAAAATGTCTTCGAACTTGTTCTGTGATTTGGCATTGAAATGTAAAGTACTATGAATGACCCCAGGGCAAAGAAACAGGGTATACATTTGGTGTTAGTGAAGCAGATATTTGCATTCATGTTTTCTAGAAGAGCAATAAACAAGTTCTTTCTAAGCCTTAATCAGGAAGATCACTTCCAATAGGTGGATTTTTGTTTGGCTTTGTGACTGAGATACCCTTAGAAAAACATGGACATGTATGATTCCAAATCAGAAAAGGATTCAGATGAGTTGGATTCTGAATGTGAAGTTTTTTAGGAATAGCTTACCCAATTATTTTGCTATATTTTCTTTTTAATGTGTGTTCAAGAGTGGTAAGAAATTTTTAAAATGTGTCCTTCTAAGTAATTAGAAAACTACAAGCCATTATTTCCTTGGTCGTTTTTCCATTCTTGGTGGTCTAGTAATAAAAAGGAAAGGTACCCTCTTGAAGAAAGTGATAAGCAACACTCTGGAACTCAGTGGAGTACCCAGGTGACAAGAGTATGCTTGGGAGTCAGAAACCCATGTGTAGAGATGATGCATGGCAAGCACCTCCCATTCATCATGGCATCTTGACCATTCTAATCAATGGTTTACCAGGTATCGTAGAGCCAGGTATTCTTCAGAACCAGGGCTAGAACAAGAAACCATTCTGTGGGCAATAGGAGGTGGGTCCACTGGTGTCAGCCATGCCAGGGGCTTTAAGACAACCCTACCATGTGCTGCTTACTCCTGTGCTAGGTACCTCATAGGTTGTCTCTAATCCTTGCGGCAATCTTGAAAGATTTCCATACTTTGCTAGAATGTAACAAAATATAAAAAACAGTCCTGTCTTTTGATTTAGTAATTCAGTTCTGAGAATTTATGCACATGAAGTTATTCATTTTTATTACAGTGTTACTTGCAATAGTGACGAGTTGGATGCATCTTATTATTTAACTCTAGGGATAGTATTCAGTAAATTATGATACATCTAAACTTGGTAGAATATTATGTAGTTTTTAAAATAATAGTCGCAAAGATTATAGAACAATATGGAAAATGTTAATGTAGCCAATAATAAAACAATAAAATGTATGCACTTTATAATTGGAAAGATATATAACTGTTAATGTGCCAATATTATTATAGAAAGGAATAATTCAAAAATAAAAGTAATTGTGGTTTTTTCCCAAAATTTATTTTTAAAATAAAAAGACAAAGAAGAAGTTTCCAAGAAAATGAATCTGTAGCTACAATAATTATTGAGGTATATTGAGAATAGAAATTGTTTTCAGAACATGCCTAGAATTACCCAGTTGCATACTTACCACATTGAAATGCTAAAGAGACTCTGGGTTTCTTTTTCTTCCTTCTCCCCACTTGGAATTTGTAATTACAGATTTGCAGAGCAAAAATGCAGTAGATTCAGGGAAGTATTTGAGGCTTTGTAAGCAAATGATGTAAAAGGTGTTTGTCCAAATTTGCATTATAAATGTGTTTTAAATATTTTCTAACTACAGAGCTGTTGCAGTCCTAACAATACTTGGCTAAGAAACTACATTCTATGATAGGCCATAATTACTCTTTGGAAAATTATTGGGCTTTAAAAAAGTGCCTAACTAAGAATACCTGAAGAGTAAGTCCCATTTGTCACTTGCATCTTTAGTCACTTCTGTAAGGTTCCTTTTTTCTCTCTTTGAAGGCATCATTGATTTTTATTGTAGGAAAAAAGGGCATGGCGTTAAACCTATTAATACATATGTAAGAACCTATGGTTAAATTATATAGAGGGCTTTTGCCATGGGTATTTATTTTCACCTTTTTCTCACAATTGTTTGAATGTCTTCTTCTGCATGTTAACTCACTTGTTGGAATTTCAATTCAGAAATTCTAATTAAAACTCATGGTCACTGGTCAATTGTGTGTTTAAATGTAGGCATCTGGAAAAGTTGATAAGATTTAGTTACATATCATGGGTTTGAGCTTTTCTCTCTTCTATGTGTTAGGCTGTGCTTGTGGACATATTAATAAGTGGTCATTTTTCTGGAATTCTGTACTCTTCCTGCTTCCTTTCATTACATTAGGCAAGGTTCCACGAGATGAGACATTTGCAGCCTTAAGACTTCCTGCCAGGGTTCAGACTTTGTATTTTTGACACTGAAGCCGTCGTGTTCCTGAAACTACTTAATTAGAAACACATTCATTTCAGTGTACACTGGAAAAAGCTTGGACAGCAGAACCAGGCACACTGGGAAGTTTGAGCATTTGTGTAGCTGACAGCTAAACTAGTGGTTTACAGTTTAAGGGGAAAATAATATTGTAGGGCATTTCTTTGCCCCAAGAAGTGAAGAGAAGCTGTATGTACACAGCAGATAGCTTAAGAAGAAGAAAAAAAGAAAAGACAACTCCACTTTTACTGCAGTTGTATGTATAGTCCTTTCTTTAGCTACTATCAAATACAAAAGTCTTCTAGAAGAATAGTTACCAAACTGTTCTGCTAATACTCAAGTCTGTTTTACAGGTTCCCAAGATATATTACTGCTGAGATCTGTAGTCAGGAGGACATTTTATATTCTGGGAGAAGGATTTTTGCTTGAAGAATTTTATTTGTTGAATGGTAATGAAGGAATTGTGTCCTTTCTTATTTTAAAATGTTTGAGCAATTTTAAAATGAACAACTGATGTCTAAAAGGCTTCCTTGCCTATCCATTCCTTTCAGGATAAAGCCTAAACTCCTTAGTATTCAGTTAGAAGCAAAATTATCAGCCAGGCTCAGTGGCTCGGCCTGTAATCCCGTGCCTTGGGAGGCTGAGGTGAGTGAATTTCCTGAGCCTACGGGTTCAAGACCCACCTGGGCAACTTGGTGAGACCTCATCTCTACAATAAAACAAAAAATTAGCCGGGTGTGGTAGCATGCACCTATAGTTCCAGCTACTTGGAAGGCTGAGGTGGAAGGATCGCTGGAGCCCGGCAGGTTGAGGCTGCGTTGGCCGGAAGCGGCCACTGCACTCCAGTCTGGATGACAGAGTGAGACTCCAACTCAAAAAAAAAAAAAAGGCAAAATTATCCTGCCTCCTTACTTACCAGTCCTTGTTTCCCCAACCCTATCCCCAAAGAGCCATCCTTGTCCATCTACTTCTACTCTGCCAGATGCCCTAGAAGAAAAGTACCCGGTCACCCAAGTCTGATCCAGGTATCTTTCCTCTATATTCATGAAACACCATCTGTACATATCATAGGATGCATCACATACTGGAAAAACAGATGGAAAAGTTGCCAGTCACACTCTTCCTCTCTTCTCCTTGAACTGCCTTCCCTATCCCCACTGAAAATATTGTGTGGGAGGTGAGTAATGTAGAGATTTTAGGTTCTGTATTACAAAGTCAGTGTGGTGCAAGATAAGACATGTATACTTTGGAGTTAAATCCCAGTTGTACCACTGGCTTTGTTTTGTGGCATTAGATAAGTGATTCAACCATTCTAGGTCTGTTTCCTTCTCTGTAAAATGAGGTTAATGCCTAGCTTGCAAGGTTGTTATATGGATTTGAAAAGATGGATTTAAAAGTTCCTCATGTAACAACTAGCACATTTATTGTTAGTAGAAATCATATAAATGACAATGTGTACACACACACATACACAGAGACACCTGAAACCAAAGGAAGGACCAGTTGATCCAAAATGCCCAGGTTTTAAACCCTCTGGAGTTTTCATCCCCTTGCTCAGTTACTAACTTAGGGAACCCATTGCTCTGTGAATGAAGCAGTTGGCGGAGGCTTTATGAATGTAGTGTCATCGCATGGCATGTGTGCAACTGGGGAGGAGATACTTACTGGCAGTTCTCCAAGTACTTTGTCCAATCAGAATGGACAGCTAGATCACATCTCATGATGGTAGAGGAAACAGCAAATTAAAAACTCATTCTTCTTTGAAACACATTTTGCCCTTCACTCAACCTTAACTGCTTTTTTCTGTTATAATCATGTCAATAATAGTTACCATTTGTATTGGGAACTATACTGATCATTGTACTTGATGTATATTTTCCTTCATTCACATATCAATGTGCCAGTTCAATTCCAATATCCTATTGAAGACAAGGCAACTGAGGCAGTGCAGTTGTATAGCTGCTATTTAGGGACTAATACCAAGGTGGATGCTCTTCCTGCCACCCATGCTGTTTCCAGTTCTGCCCACATTTTGAAATTCTTCTGAAGTTTCTAGGCGTGGGAACAAAATGTCATATTAGGATTTTTGTTGTGAAAGGAAATGTAATTATGCATACGTTTATTAAAACAGTTTTTCTCCAAGTAGTGAACCATCTGTAATTTTCTGTCAGAAGCAACAGACATTAAAGCAGCTGTGTGTCTTTGTTTCTCTTCACAGTGCTCCCATGCCCTACCTCATAGGAATCCATTTAAGTTTAATGGAGGTAAGTTGGTTTCTTTCTTCCCGAGATCATTCTGCGTGGAGTTTTATTTTGCTGTGTGGCAGTGGAAAGACACGGTCTTGGGAGTCACAGCTCTACACACGGGAAGGTGTCGAAGCAACACCTCCCAGCTGTGCAGAGCTCAGCATTCTGCTTAGACATTTTGCACTGGGCTCTTGTTTTCAGAGTTTCCCCATTTTGCTTGGGGATTGTGGATTTTCATGGGTTAAGAGAGTAAGAGTCAAGGAGTCAGGAGGAAAGTGCTCTTCAAAGATTTGAACAAGGGAAGAGAAAAGATTTGCTTTTCAAAATGTTTATTCTAAATTACTATACTGATATTGCGTTTTTCATTGAAGGAAATTGATATAAAAGGTAAATATACAAGTATGAAAAGGAAATTAAAATGATCTGTATGGCTTGGGAATTTCTAAGTGTTTTTGTCTACTCTTAGTAATATTAATTTTTAATATGCTACCTATCATTCACACTATTTGGATATACCACAACTTAACCATTTTCCTACTGTTGGACGCTTAGGTTGTTTACAATTTTTCACTATTATAAATAGCATTTCAGTGAACATCTTTATGCATAAGGCTTTATCTGCATTTTTCTTCATTTCCTTAGCATAGAACCCCTAAAGTAGAAATGCTTGGTCAAAGCTATGCATCAGATGCCAGATTGCTTTCTGTATGGCTGTACCAATTAGTTAGCAATTCTTTTAAAGGACTTTTCTGTGCTTTTGTAAGTGCCATTAGTTTGTAGACTTGAACCCTAAACACTTTCCTCCTCAGGAAAGCTTCAATTTGTACTAGAGCAAAATGAGGCATGGAGGGGGTGGGGGCTCGCCTGTTTTGCACAAGAGATAAGCTCTCCAAGGGAAAATCTACAGCCATGTCCGTCTGTGATGGTGCTTTGCATGTCTTAAAGGAAGTGCTACTTCTCTTCTTCTGTTCCCTTCATTTCACGTCGACGAGGACCACCTGCTTCTACACTAACTGTTGCACACTGTGCTATTGTGCTTACAAAAATGAAAGAAGTTGGTTATCGAAAAACCTGTTTGTTTGACATTGAGAATCTTGATCAAAATAGACCACAGAAATCTGCTCAAATTTCTAATTTGACAGGCCGGCCATGTGGCTCCTACATTCTGTTAACAGTTCCTCCTTGTCATCACCCAGCCCTAAGCACATACAGTACACAGTTTATGGACTATCTGGGATGATGTATTTAGATCAGATTGAAGAGATTTCTTCTGTATTTTACCTTTGTTTGTCAAGTTTGGGGGTCTATTCAAAGTTACCATATGAAAAATTGAAATTCAAAGTGAACACTTTCTAATAGACCTTTAGTGCCAAATGTTATAGAGTTTGAAACACTAATCTGACGACTATTTCGTCTATCAGAGGCCACAGTTCCCTCCTGCCTTCCAGACTGCTTCAGCACAGGCTTGTTCAGACTCCTTTTTATGTCCCATTACCTTCAGCATTCTCCAAGTTTGTAGTCCCGCCTTTCTCTTCTTTTCTACATGCCCAGTAGGCATCTTGTTGAAGGCTTTTGTCTCAGCTACCAGGTCAATACCAGTGACTCTCCACTGTGATTCTAACTCTGGAATTCAAGATCCAATTTTTCAAGTGCTATTTGCATTTCACCTGGATGTACTACAGATGTCTCACTCAGTCTTCTCAAAACAATAAATTATCCACACATGCAGCAATGTGCACGTGCGCATACATGCACACACACACACTCTCACACTCAAGCCACTCCACGCCACTCCACTCTCCTTCTGGTGTTCCCAGTCCCTGTGAATGGCACCACTGCCTGCAGTGGCACCAAAGTGGGACATACTGAACATGGCTAAGTGTTCCTCTTCCTTGTCCTTCTTTTTAAATACTCATAAAATTTCTGAATTTTCTCTTGCCGTATTCTTTCCTCACTACCTTTATTGACACTTCGTTTTCTTGGATTTTTGCAAAGACAAATTCATTTCATAAGCAAAATGAGGGCCTCTTATGTTCCAAATATTTTGCAAAGTCCTAGAGGTATAAAGATGAATATAAAGTTTATTTCATAATCCCAACATTAATTCATAATGCCCTCCATCCAGTCACTCTATAACCATGGGTTATAGCACTTGGGAAAGAGCCTTTCAACCTCTCCCTACACAGTCCCTGAGTCCCGCACAATCTCTCCACTGCTGCGAGCCTTCTGCCCGATCACTTGCTTGTTATCCAATGCTCTCTCTGATCTTTAAATGTATCCACACCCACACCTCTGCCTGGATAAGCCCTGCCCTTCTCCATCTCTTCCAAGAAATCCTCTCATTTTGCTATCTTCTTTCACTTATGGTACCTCTTGATCTGAATTATAGCTTTTTGCTTCCTTGTTCCTCTCCATCATCCCTGGGAGCATGCATTCCTGGGGAACAAGTACTGTGCATCACTCACTATGGTATCCTCAGCATCTAGCAGGATGCCAAGCAGCTGGGATTGTCAGAGCAAATATGTTCTGAAAAGAAGGATTGAGTGAATGCTTAGAAAACTGTAATTTGGAGCACATTTTGAAGGCCTCTAATAGGCATCACTGTTTTCAGGCAACCCAATGCCATAATTTTACTTACAGGTGGGAGAAATACTTTTTTGTTTTGTTTTGTTTTTACTTTTTATGTAATTGTAAGTATTTAAAATAGGGCCTTTTGTAGTAAAACATTTAATACAAAATATGCATATATTTTGAAGCTGTAATTTGGCACACCTTTAGAAGGAAAGTGGACTCTTTAAGGTAACTAAAAAGTTTTGCACTTACATGAATGGGTGCAGGTCTCCTCTGCTCAGCCTTTGAAGGGTGTTATGTGAAAAGGTTCGTGAAGCACTGGCCAAGGTAGATCTTAGCCCTGTTGATTGACAGAAGTTGGAGAGGAGTTTGCTGTGCTGAATTCCTGTGTGGTCAGCACGAAAATGAAAACAAAAATGGCAGTTACCCCACTCTTGAAGCCAGCTAAAACACTTTTGAAGAAATGTTCCCTGGGCATGTAGGGCAGCTATGAACTACCAAGTCTTGGAATTCAGTTCTGATTTGGAGTGTCCTAGTTGTGCTTTCTGATTGGGTTTATCTGGTTCTATTGTACCATTCAGGTGGGAGAGATGCTTCCCCCGGGATTTCCTCCAGCAACCCTGGATTATCATGCTTGGGGAAGAGCTCAGACCTGGGGCCAAAGAATAGCTCTTTAAGGAAGGAGCTTGGGAAGGCCCATCTCCTCCCGCTACACTAGTTTTCTTACTGGCAATTCAGCAAAAGGCTTATTTTTGACTGTCTTGTTATTTTTTCTTGAAAGCTATAGGCACCTTATTATGCCTTTGCATATGTGCCAGAATTTTTTAAACTTCAAATGAATGTGGCAGATGTTCATAAAAGTTTAGAAAAAGCTACCATAGGAAGACTTTTTAACCATTTTTATGACACTCAAATTTGTTGCACAAAAAGAAATATAAATTATAACCTTGTGTTCTCATTTTTAAAAATGTTATTTTGGGGAAAGACCTAATTCTGGTCTTTATGCTCTTACAGGATACCATTGCTGTGTGTTAAATGGTAACCTAGTCACCTTAAAGGGTCCACTTTCCTTCTAAAGTGGCAAGTCTATACCTGATCACCATTCTTCTCTCTCCTTCTGCCTTTTTATAATCTTTCTCTCATTTAAGCAATTTGAGGCTAGTGGCACGTTAGCAGAATAGCCAAGGATATTGGCATAGACCTAGTTTCTTCTTGGAGAGAATGATCATGTTAGCTGGCAGCTAGGGAATCCCTAAACATGGCCAGATTACACAGTGACTGTCCTTTCATTCAAACTATCTCAATTTAGCAAGAGACATTTATGCAGCCCCTCTTCTGTGCCATCTCTGGTAGCAGGTGCCAGGTCATGTCTGGTTGATGGTGCTTCTCCTTTTGATAAATGAAGATCTTCCGTCCCAAGCCTCACAAACAATGCTTTGTATACAGACCTCAGAGTGACATGAGGAAGATATACAGAAGGTATTTTATATCATTTCCTGGTGGTGGGATGTTTAGGAAGGTGGAAAGAAAGGCAACTGTTACAGAGAGGCTTGTAAATGAAACTCCACCTATACACAGAGGCAGTGAAGTATAGCAGTTAGAATGTGGGCTCTGGATTTTGGCACCCCTGCTTCCAGCTTATGTGATCTTAGGCAAGGCCTTTGACCTCTGAGCCTCTTTTTTCTCACCTGTAAACTGAGGTTAATGGCTGTGTCTCCCATACAGGATACTTGGGAGGATCCAGTGAGAGAATGCATATTGAAAGCCTAGCACAATACCTAGCACATAAAGAGCTCAACAAAAATTGACAATCATTGCGGTTTTTATTTTTTCAGTGACCTTAAAGTCATTTATATTGTTCAGCTGATGGCTTTGAAATTGTATTTTATAACTCTTAGATTCCCAGAATCATCATCCTCATTCCATAGGGAAAGAGAGGAGAGTCTCAACAAAATTAGTTTGTGCCTGCCTCCTTTTCTCTTGGTTTACAATGCAGAGACATTGGGAATGACACTTTTGTAGAATTTGATAAACATACTTCCAAACCCCTGCTTGACCACTTCCTGATATCTTCCACCGTGATACTTTGTCTTTCCACATTTTACTTTCTTCATCTCTAAGAACTGAGGCCTGTGTTCATACAGCATATCCCAATGTCCGGCATGTGGTAGGGACACAATATGCATTCCTTTCCATGGCATTGTTCTGTGTACCAGGCACTGCATTATTCTAGGAGTTCTATATAAAATGGTGAATGTGACATGATCTACACCTTCACAGAGTTTTATCTAGAACAGATGCAAACAAGTCAAAAGTAATTGCAGTGAATTTGGGATGCCATAGGCTCTGGTAGGAGAGACACCGACCTTAGCCTTGAGAGCTATGATTCTCAAGGAAAGAGACTACCTAAACTGAAACCCAACAAATAAATAAAAATTAGGTAAACC